AGGTTCAAATCTTTGTCACAAGGAAACCTCACTGACAAAAAAAAACCCAAAACAAACAAAACTGTTTCTCAAAGAATTTCTGACTAGCTATTATTTCAGTATCACAAATACCTGAAGCAGCAGTGGTGACAATACATAATTAATTGCAGTTAATTTTCCTTCATTCCTGCAGTCCCTTAACTCATGACAATGAACAGGAGAAGCAACCCACCCACCACCCGTCTCTAACCCAGGGTAAGGAAGGTATGAGATTTATCTTCCTGACTGTTTTTTGCATGAGAGGACACCACAAGGTACACACTCTGTTGAGGTGCTTGCAAACTGAGTCTCGGTAAGTGAGCACACACCCCACAGTAGCACTGGTAATCTGCTAAGTCTGATCCTGAAGATGTGACCTCCTAAACTGTGGCATTTTCTCTATAGCTGCTGTGACTGCTGAGGAGGTCCCAGTGGGACAGACAGCAGAGGCTGGTGGGCTCACGTGATCTCCTGCCTGGCTTCCTCTAAGTCCACTGCCAGCACTGGATGGACATTTCCACTGACCCATGGGGCATTAAATTTTCTTATTCTGGCAGGATGACCACAACTTTACACACACAAGTGATTATGGACTTGGCTCAAAAACCCTTTACATTCCATATTAAGCCTGTTCCATTTGCTCTCTCTTCCACGCCAAGGTCCCATGCAAGGTGCTCTCTCTCTCTCTCTCTGCCACAGAATTATCTTTGAAGAGCAAGTGCCCTCTCAGGTGTCTGAGAATTCTGTATGAATTTAAACATAGACCAAAGACAGAGAAGTGAGTCTTGAGAGCTCCAAACAATATTTTTGACTCTGTTCACCCATTCAGGGAGTCAGCTCTTGACCTTTTACATGGGTTATGCCCTGATGTTCCCCCCCCTCGCACAGCCCCCTGAATAATCAGGCTAGCCCAGAGGTCTGAGGCTGTGCGGGGAGGAGTATCAGGAGATGGCAAAGATTTCCAAAAGAGGCTCTTACCCCAGATACATTGGTTCAGCTCTCTTTATTCTGTGATGTCCAAGGGGAGAGCGGGGCAAAAGAGAACGAACAGGAAATGTCAGGGGTCTATATAGACTTTGGACAGGGTGGGCTTCCCTGGCTCTCCACCAGCCCCATTGGGGCAGGAAGGAGGGGTCCAGGGTTATCTTGATCAGAGTCACAGGGTCCCAGGGAAGGGGAAATGGGATGCCCATGAGCTCACTCTAACAATGCCCTGCCTACCCCTGCACACACACAGTCCACAGACCCCGCAGTAGTCCTTTTCCAGGACTGTTTAAGCAACAGCAGGTTCTTTAGCACAGCTTGGGGGGTACAGAGATATAGATGGAATCTAGGTTTCCCCAGGGCCTTTCCCATGACTCAACCAAACGCATAAAAAAGGATAAACCATTGCAGATGTTGAGAAGTCTTGACTCCATGCTACCCCTAATGGGGCCGTCCCAGGACAGTTTCCATGACAACTGAAAAGCCTGTATCTATGCAACCTGAGCTATAATACTTACATTGCCATAATAAGCAGCCCTAGCTTTGTTTTTATGTAGGACACCGTGAGGATCTGCTTTCCCATGAGGATCAACTTCCAGCTCCCTTTTCTGGCCTGAAATTCATTGTGCTAATCCTTCACATGGCGCATCCGGAGCTACTGCTGATCAGGGATCACCACAGGTGATTGCAGATCCATTCCCAGGTGGTGGCAATTCCTTGCTGTGTGCTGGGCCATTTTCACATGCAAGGAATGGAATTTATCTTTTTCTCCCTCACATACCACGCCCTAAGGACAAGATCCCCAAAGCTAGCTTCCATCATTTCCCCCCTACTCTTCTACACTAGGAGCTTCCTTGCAGTCCATACTGCAATCAAAACCAGCTTTCTTCCTCTGAGATTTCAGGTGAAATATAGATTATTTCTATAATGGGGATCTACTACATAATCATATATTAGTGATTTACAGCATTACTTTGTACTGCTAGTCAGCTACATGCTTCCCCCCAGTTATAATCAGACTCTGTCAGATTTTTTTTTCCTGAGACCGTTGTTAATTCTGGGACATATTTACAAGGTTTGAAAGCCTACCTGTCATTTCATAAAGCAACACAGTGCAAAATATATGCCAAATATCTACCCTGGCAGCAGACAGGAAGTTTAGTCCTTGGAATTTGTATGAATTCCAGTTTAAGGAGATAATGAATTTAAATGGTACAGACTCGCAGACATTAACAGGATTTACTAGATACAGAGCACTTACAGTGGTGTGTATAAGCTGTATGTTACGATTTTATAAACCAAATGTTGGCATACTCCACAAGCTGGCCCTAAGTAATATAATGATCCTGACTTCTGTGTAGAGATCCTCATTATTTTTAGCAAACCACACTCCTGCCTTTTAATCAGTCCTGTGGAAGTTACAGGGGCTGTGGGTCACCATGAGATGGGTACTGAGGCAGTGATAACAAATTAGGAAAAAAAAGAAAGAAAATTATCTAAAATTTGTGGCTATGAAATTAACAGTAATACAGAAAGGAATGGGAAATGGCCTTCTGCAAATTTATTGGTATTTTGAAGCTGCAGCAAAAAACAAGTAATTAACTCATATATTGCAGTAATTAGCAATTTCCAGTCTCTATAGCGTAATTGTCTTCAAACATAGTCTTAGAGCTCCCCTGTTCCTGCACTGGAAAGCACAGGACCCTGCCAAGTTTGTACACAGTTCCCTCACTGTATAAGTGAAGGAACTCCAGATTCTCTCTAGTGCAACTGGCATCTGCTTCTGAATAATTTTGTAAGTTCCACAGCTGAGCATATCAGGTTAACCTTGCACTTCTGAAAGCCACTGTGTGTGCTCCCTTTCTCCTCCAGCATGCCAGACAGTGGCATATCTGTGCTCAGTCCACGGTGTGGGTAGCAGGGGGGCTGTCTCCAAGTTGTGGCTGCCTGGCTGTGTGCTGTAATTGTCTCTCTTCACATGAAAAGAGATGATGCATTCAGTCTCTGCACCTTCAGTGCCAGGTAATGCACAGAAGGAAATAAAATGAAATGTGTGTGTGTGTGTGGGGGGGGGGGGGGGGGGGGGGGGGGGGGTGTCCTCATCATCCTCAAAATTTGAAACTGTCATCTGTCAGATGCCAAAAAAACTATTCAGTAGTTTGAAGTTAAAATAACTCCTTTTTATTACACTTTTTGTTTAAGATGTTTTCAAAATCAAAAATACAGTTAGGCCAATCTCAAGTAGTAGAAAATTTAATCTTTTTCTGTCTGAGATTAACAGGGCTACCCAGTGGGTGGTATTATCTGGCATTATCTTATAGAATTAAAAAATTTCTTTTGCGAACTGAACTCTCTTCTAACAGCCAAGTGCTTGAAGACTTGATGTTATTTTTGTATTTACTGTTACCTTTGGTAGCTAAGATACTAATATACATCTGTGCAATTTTCTTGCAAAGCCTCCGGATGGCTTTCATGGCAATTTCTGCCATCAGGAACCACTGTTTATTAAAACTTTGTAAAATAGTTATTTGACAGGTTTAAAACTCCAGACTTTGACATAGCAGAGGCAGCTTGTGTACAATGATTTCTCAACACATCCTTCACAAGAGGCTGTGTCTCAACAAGCATGGTGAGTCCTAAATTTAGAAGAAGGTATGGTGCAGACAGATCAAAGAAGATAATGAAAATAAGGTTCTATTTTGTTTTACTTTTGTTTTATCTGAAGCTTACTATATAGTTATAATGATAAGACTTCAGTCTTAAAGGAAGTAAATCTTTTCTAAGGGAAGAGTAGGAGCTGAAGGAGTAAGCCATAAAATACAAGTCTTTGGTTTACCTGAGTTCTTGAAAAACACTCATGCTCCAGCATAGGTAAAGGAAGACAGTGAAGCAGAGACAAAGAAATAGATGGGAGAATCTTCTCTGAGCAGTTAATGGAGGCCCAGGAGCTCATGCATCAAGGTGAACTCCTTGTCTGCCTCTTCCCCCTTCCCTCAGCCCCCCTCCTAGTCTGGTGACTTAAGGCAAATGACAGTCATGGGTACCAGCAGCAAGATTCCATGGTGTTCCAGCACTGGGAAACTCAGTGCAACTGAATGCTCAGGTTGCTGACATATGTTGTGGAGACAGATTTCCGCAGTATGCAGACTGAGATGCATAATCTGAACAAGGTTATGAGCCAAGCATCTTCAGTGTTTATTGAAAACATCCCTGGTGTTTAAAATTTTGTGGTCTTCTGAAATCCAGCCCTGCAGTTATTTCTCCCTTTCAGGGAGAACCAGACACTCAGATACTTTAGGAACACGTGGGTCTCTTTTTTCCCCTCCCTCCTAACAGGAGAGAGAGTTTAGCTGGCTTTTCCTGGTTCACATCCTGGGATGAATCACTGCAGACCAGCAGCAGAGAGGCAGCTCTGAGGCCCTTACAGGAGCAGAAGAGGAGCAGTCTGTCACTCTGGACAGGGTTCACTGTGCAGAGACAGGGAGAGGGGAGGAGAGTAATTTATGAGGGTCCCTTTATAAGGGAGTCTGGTGTTCAGATACAGTGTGGGATTTTTCTTTCAAAAACAAACAAATGCTAGTTATACTTCCCTGTCTGGAAAAACTCAGTCCTTTAGCCAATCCCTCTCCTCTTTGCTCATTCTTTTAACTCTCACTCATTCTAAGCTGCTTTAGAAGTATTTTTGGGGATATTCAGACTTGGAACGCTGTGTTCCTCCTAGCTGTTTTCAGACCTTCTTGCCCGATGTTCCTTTCCACAGCACTGGTCTTTAGGCCAGCCAGAAATAAGGATATTGCTGAGCACAAAAAAAGCCTTGTGTATCCTTCCCAATAACTACTCTAGAGGCTGTAACATATCTGCAAAGGGATTTCAGCATAATTTAAAAATGTCAAAGGACATTTAAAGGCAGTGTCTGGTGACATTCTGCATGACAACACTTCCCTGCAAAGGTGGGAAATGAGAAGAAATAAAGGCTAGACGGGATTATTTGTTGGAATGTACCAAGACATGGCTCTCTGTGATGGGTGTTGTAACATCTTAGCTCTTGTAAAACTGCCCCTTGTGCCAGTCTCTGCATGTGTTTATATAAGTAAAAGGGGGAGCAAGTGAGAATATGCTTGTGGAAATTCACAGAGATGTTCCCATTTATGAGACACTGGTTTTCTGGAGCTGATATCTTGAAAATTCAGAAATCCTGTAAAAAGAAGAGAAAAATGATTTTATGTAGAAGGAGAGAACTGCTAAAGTTCTTCCAGATATCCATGCTCAGTTCTGTCATATTTTAATGTCAGATATTTCACTTGTTCATTGTTTTCTGTCACCCATCATCCAGACAATCTATTGGTCTGCCTGAAACCATGTAATGTATTGAAGACTAGATAAGAACTAGTAAATATTTCATCTTTGTGTGAATAAAACTTACAAGCTATTGTGTAAGGTAGTTTTTCAGACCATTGATGCACGTGTAAACTGGATTCCTGCCATGTGCACCAAGAGGACATGTCAACTTTCTTCCAATGTTTTTTTGCAGTTTATGTTCTGGCAGGCATGTTTCCTAGCTCCTATCCTGGGTGTTGCTACAGCTGTTGCGTGTTCCTGGTGCTGGTGGGATCATATGGAGGGACAAAGGTCTGGGACCCCCTGAAATAAAGTATAAAGCTACTTTCTCAAGTAAAACTTTATTATTATTTCTCTTTTCTCTGTTGCCATGTATGATTATATTGGTTATACTGGTTAAATGTACATCATTACATTTCTGATTTCTGTAAAACACATTAAAATTTTCAGCGAAGGGACTAGAACCCTTAGAATTTTAGCCATTCACTTGCCCATAAAATTTTTTGGTGTAGATAAAATACATAAAAGGTGTATACACAGACACACAGAAACACACAAATGTAAAAAAAAAAAAAAATCCCATGGTTATTTATTTTATTGAGAGCTGTTGTATTATACTGAGAGGAAAGATATGCATTGGACTCCATTTATTTTCTTCTCAGTTTAAAACTGTGCTATGAGCAATCATTCTACATTTAAAAGCCATACTGTTCCTAGGAGCCTTCTGTGCCTTAAAAGTCCACACAGATCTCACATTATGCAAGTAGTGAGTAGAGCACAGGTTCCCTATTTAAACACAGAACATCCATTATTATACATATTCCAAACAGATACGTATTCCCTCTTCCTTTCAGGTGCCCAAGTAGTAATCTTGCTTTTAACAATTTTGAAAGGTGACTGGATTTACCCTGGGTGTTTCCTATTCCCACGATACTTTCATGGAATGCAACTGAATGTGCAGTCACTCATAGCATGAAAATTTCTGCTGCGTGCATTGCAAAAGTGATTTATTTTCTCTAACAAATCTTGTGGAAAATATTCTGTACTGCTTTTTGGGAGAGGTTTTAATCACAACAGAAAAAAAAGCTCAGAGAAAAATATTCTATGAAAGCTGATTTTGATTGATAGGTGAAAACATTAAGATTTTAGCACACTTTTCTCTGGTTTGCCACCAAGTAGAGTAAGGGTGGACCTAACAGGAATCTACTTAGCATTTTCCCTTAAAATAACCCAGTGACAGATGCCTGTACCACGGTGCAGAGCACTTAAAGTCTGACTTCCAGAATGATTTATGTCATTCAGCATGCTAATAGGCTCCTTCAAAGCTGCTTTTCCACTATTTTCCACTATTTCTCTAACGGACTGGCTCAAAGAAAGATACTCGTGATCTCTAGAACATAGAGAAAACACATATTGCTACCAGAAGAGCTATTTTAAATTCTACTATCAGGACAAGGATGATTTTTGGAAGTGTCAGTGCTGAGGGGCAGTACTAAATTTGAGTTTCTACCTCTATCCTTATAGAAAAGAGCAGAACCTAAAAGAATAAAATAAAATAATAAATAAAATAAAATAAAATAAAATAAAATAAAATAAATAAGCACTTAATGGCAACTGCATTTAGTTTTCATGAAGATCAAACAATTCATTCATAGTTTGTAAATTTTAGTTACATTAATGCTGGTTTTATAACCCTGTGCCTTTCCAACTCTTACCTTTCTTCTTTTCCATAGGCTGGTCTCCTGAGTCAGACAAGACTGCAAGTGAATGGTGGCAGCCTCTTGGGAATGCCTTTGTTATTCATCAGAGGCTGTTTGAACTTATGCCAGTGTGTTTGACGGGGCCTCATTCAGAAGCCATCAGGATCAATGAAAAAGCTCCAGTTAACAAGGCCTTGATACCAGTCCAAATCTGATACCAAAGGTCTCCCAAGAAGGATCACGGAGTATGGTACTTGATAACTCTTGTGCACGGGCACAGTTTTCATGGGGAAGAAGATGTATTTGCTTCCATTCCACTACAGAAAATCTTGCATGTGCCCTTGGGTTTTTGGCAGATGTTGAAAGCTGATCAGAAGCAGATGATGTGAGAGCAACAATATGTCCCTGAGCAAAGCAAAGCAGCAGGTGCAGGAGGAACATATGCCAGATTCCCATCAGCAGAAGGAGCTGCATGGAGGACTCTCTGGGACTGCATGTAAGGTGCATGCTCCACTTTTCCTCTGGCACTGGGGAATATTAATGTCTTCATCAGGCCAAGCAAATGATTTGCAAATTTAGCTTTCAGTTATGTAATAATTCATATAATAAATACCTAGGGACTATAGTGCTTGAATATTTCTCACGCAAAACAACCTAAGTCTTTAAAAACCATCACATTTTACTTTTAAAATAGAATATGCATAAAAAAATTATGAAGGAAATTAGAAACCTTAGCTACCACAAAATCTTTTGTACTCATCCAAGAACATGAAAATTTTCCACTTAATTGTATTTTAATTTTAAAAAATTAGTTTCAAAAAATACTGTATAAATTTAATTTGAAATGCTTTGATGAGACCAGTTCTGAGACTCTCTTAAAAAAAAATAAACTAAGAAAAGCAATGCTTCAGTGATTGGAAGTCAGTGTTGTTCAGCCCTGGCCCTCTGCTTTGCTTTGAATGGGCTAAATAAAAATATGCCTATTACAATCAAAATTGAGCAATTTTGGATAGAAGTTATCCATTTTTCTCCAGTGTCATATTATGGTCTTCTCAGTGGAACTAGACAAAAAGTCTGGCTCATGAAATACATATGCATACGTATGCATTTTACCTCGAGACCAAGCCAAGATTTTTCTAAAACAAAAAACATCACACCCTCCACATAAGAACCATCAAAAAGCAGTGAGGGCACAAAAGTATAAACTTTCTTGCATTGTGCCAGGTCTGTTTCTAAACTTCTGCTGTGCCATACTTTTTCATGCTAGTGACCTGAAACTCATCTTCAGGAACAGAGGTGCTTTCTCTCTTTCTTCCCACCTTTGGTGGAAATTTTCCTATTAAAACCTACAGGAAGATTTGGGTTTGATATTTTTTCTAGTAAGGAAATTTTTTTTCAGAGATCTACAACTCTTCTCTTGAACCATATAATGACATTTAATGAACAGGTTAGAAATCTAAATAACTAGATTTTTTGAAATCTAATTTTTTTCTAAGTTTTTTTTTTAATCTACTTTTTTTTTTTTTTTTGTGCTTTTTCAAGTAGGATTGAAAGGCCACAGGACAATAGAAACAAAATACCTTCACTGGACAAAGATTTTACCATTTAGTTGTCTCTAAAGTACTCACAGCATGACAAGGTTTTGTGAGTTATGTGTTTTGGAACAACTTTCATTGTCACTAATGTAATCTAATGAAAAAGATGTAGAGGAAGTGTTGACAAGACAAGGAATTCACTTTGAGATAACCAGCAAAAAAAAATTGTTTCTAAGTATTTCAAAGCACTGTACTGACAGATTTCCCAGTTATAGCTGATGCCAGAAAACACTCTATAGCTAACCTTGAAATTTAATCTGAAATACTTGAAGAGATTGGAATAAGAATTCATGGACTGACATCCTTAGTTATCCCAAATTGTTTGATATATAACATGTGGATATAGCAAATGTTTGAAATGGTGATTTAAATTAACCCACTGAACTCATAAACCACCTATATGACTTCTCCCATAGCATGCCTATCTATGGCCTGTGCTCCTAAATAACACAGAGACTATAAAATTAATCCTCTAATCCTCACACAGGTATAACAACACTGAACCTTCAATGACTGGGAGTGCCACACTCATATTACATATAGGTCTTGGTGGAAAGAGCTGCAAAAACTTTGCAGCTATCTCTAAGGGAATTGCCTTTGCAGCAGGAAATCAACAAATTGGTCATTCCATACAAACTACAGGGATTTCTTGGAGCCAAAGGGGAGTTAGAAGACTTATGAAGACCTGCAGAATGCTGAATATCTCAGCATTTGTTAGGAAATCCTAGAATGCCTAGTTAGAAATGTATTGCAGTTACACACCTATGCAAAACAGGCTGGGGAGAAACAACAATCAACAAGGCAGCCCTCCACCCAACAGATAAAGGGGAAAATTTTAGTTTAGATGTCCAAATTTCTTCAGGGAGTTTTTGAAACTCTCCTGTTTTAGATTGGCAAAAAGTTTGTGCTAGAACTTCAGCAGGAAGGATGGTATAGGACATGAAGAAAATCAGGATGAAAAATCTAGTGAATGGTAAAATGTAGTTTTGAAAGAACAGATTATATACTCATGTCCTAAAAAACATGTTCGTCATCTTTTCCCTCACTTGAATCCAGAAGTTACACAGGTTGACATAATTTTTCAATTGTATCTTTAATTCAGAAATTACTAACAATCGTAATGATAAAATGTTGCAGTTTTGAAAGAATATATTATAAATTCATGTCCTAGAAAACATGCTTGTCATCTTTTCACCCACTTGAATCAGGTTGACATAATTTTGTAATTGTGTCATTAATTCAAAAATTACCAGCAATCATAATACTTAAAATTCACTGAGTTCTCCTAAATAAATTATGCTTTTTCAACCTAATTACAGATTTATTTATCCAAATTAAAATGAAATATGCTTCAAATTAACTTTGTGACAGCTGGCAATGGGTCCACTGGAACCAGACGCCATCTGGGGATAAACAGGGAACATCATTTTCCAGCCATTCTTTTTTCCCTCTCAGATCAACTAGTGCATGAGAGACTGCACAAACAGGAATAGGACTCAGTTGTGCTAATCCTGGTCACCCGCCATGCCTCCACAGGAAAGCCTCAGAGATTATGTGCAAGACATAACTACTTCCTTTTATAGAAAGTAGAGCAAAGCAGAGAAATTTTCTTGAAATCCTTTGAGAAAGTGGAGCTGAGGATGAAAAGTTGGACATAATGGAAATAAAAGAAAGTATTTGGGGGCTTTTTGCAAGTATCAAATGTTTATAGCTGCTGTTTAAGCTGATCCATATAGTTTTCTTGAGAGACTTCTACCTTCAGAGTCTCCAACTAGCCAAATTGAATCCTTCACAGTCTTGGGAAAGGATTTCATAGCTTCCTCTGGCTTGTGGAGCAGCTACTCTGTTCATCTGGTGTCATGGATGAGTGGAATGCATCTCACTCAAAAGAGTGAAGCAGTAACGTGTATTATTCAAGTAAAACAGTAACTTAAGAGAGTTCAATAAATTTGATGGAATGTAACACATTTTAGAATCATCCACACAGAACCTGGAGGCACAAGGGGTACGGAAGACCCTCTTATTGATTCATGAGGTTCAGAGAGGACAGGCTTCATCCCAAAACTCTAGATGGAGCCTTTGTGTGGCTAGATCCAATCTTAATCTCCAATTTAGACCGTGGTTTATACCTAATGGATTAGCTATACAATGTTTATAATAATATTGAGTAGTTACATGGGTTAATAATGTTTTTTCAGTATTGATTCAGCATGTTATCAGTCACTGAGGATCTATCACAAGTAAGGGGTGTCTCCACCTTCAGCAAGGAAGGATGTCAGCCTCAGGTAAGGGGTACTCCAGTTTGCAGGTTCATCACAGGGTGTGAGGTCTCTGTTGCTTCTTAGTCAGCCAGAACCAAAGTACAGCCGGGAGTCAAGTGTATCCATCACAGATATCTGCTGGATGCCAGAAATAATTTTGTAGATTCTCAGATACTAGCAGAGGTTTTCCACTATATAGATGGGGGCTAGGAAATTTGTTGTCAGATGGTTTTGGTTTTTTTTTTGTTTTTTAACAACCCTGCAGATGTACAGAAATATATTTTTACTGTCCTGCCCTGGTCCCCTGCCCTTCAGCTTCAGAAATTACAGAGCCAAGTATAATTCCTCTTTCTTTCCAGTTTGGTTTTGTTGGGGGTTTTTTTCCCCTTTTTTGTTGGTCTAATTATGGTATGCAGTTGTCTTCTGTCAGCAGGAAAAATATGAGAAAAGGTTTGGAAATTTATATGCTGAAGTTCTGTACTCTCTTACAATCCCAGCAAGAGCTGTTTTCTAATCCTTTAAATATCAGGATTTCATTACAGTTTTCTTTCCCTCTTCTAATTCTCAGTATGATTCACAACTGAATTGAGCATTAGGCTGTTTAAACACTAAGACATTTACACAGAGGAGCTCCAGCTGTAGTGTAAATACTATTTAACAAGATTTTTTTTGAAGACATAGTTCTGGAAAAGTCATTATAGCTATTTGTTTGCCAGAAACTATAGGAATAAGAGAAAAATCCTTTGTGTGTCATTTATTATTGTCACTTTATAGGTCGGGGAATTATAAACAGCTCTAAGTATTTTGCAATAGCAACTTTTTACTCAAAGCTCCTCTTTTTAAAATACAGTGTCTGGTTTTTAGTTGTTACAATACACCAGTGCATACTTCAGCTGAGTTGCCCAAGTTTTTTTGCAATTATGGATGCCAAGAAGATTTTATAGCCACATGTTGATGCTACCAGTTTTACTAGCTGTGTATATAAATCTTGTACCAGCATTGTGACTGTTAAAATAACTTTTTTAAGTGTGACTACTAGATGGTTTACTTATCTAATAGCTTCCAATCCACATAAAGTTAGTTAAGAGTTCCTGCTATAACCTTTTGTGACAAACTTGCACAAACCTCACATAAATTCCATAAATATATACTACTTCTCATCAGCTTTAATTCCTTCTGCTGACATATAATCCATAGTAAATTTGGTATAACCTATTGATAGACTCCATATGAGTATGAGATTTTTTTACATAGGGTTAGACATTCTGAAACTCCCTCAAACACAAATGGGAGAAAAACTTTGACTGTTCAGTGGTTTTAGGGTCAATATTTTCTGTAACCTTTCCTGTTTCATAACAAAGGACACCAAAGGCCAACTAAACTCTGACTAAACTAAAATGCAACATAAGATGCTTACTATATTTCTGAGATAATGCATCCAATGCATTTTAACAAACTTGATAAGACATTTCATGCTCTCAGTTCTACATAAATTCCCAGTGAAAGACCAGACTTTAAAAGTGTATTAAAATTTCAGTGGGAGTACTTAGATAGTGAGACACTTTCTTACTGGTTTTGTAGAGTTGTGCCCAGTCCTTATGTTTTTCAAAAGAAAAGAAAACCTTCTCATTTACATAACACATAAAAATAGAGACAAGAGATAAATATCTT